GCTTTTTTTCATTTATTCATTTCTATAATTCTGATCATACTCAAACTTTATGCTTATGAGCACCTAAAAGGCCATACAAATACAGTCTCTCCTCCCTGTCCGTACCCCCATCTCCTACTACTCATAGCTCTTGTGGTGTTCTTTGAACACAATTAGCATGTGCCCAGTTCTTGGCCTTTGCACTTGCTGTTCTTTGTCTGGAACATTCTTCCCCCTTCTATATGCATGGCTTCCTGCTTGATCTCTTTATCACTGAGGCCTTCCCCAATCCCCCAATTTAAATTACTACCACATCTACTTCTTCACATCCATATCCCTCTCTTTACTTTAGCACTTACCACCTCACACAACTTTGCTTTGTTTGTTTACTGTCCTTTTCCATCCACTAGAGTCCATATAGCATGCATTTTTGTCTTATTTTGTTCACTGTTGTATTCCCAGCCTGTAGGACAGTGTCTGGCACTCAAAAACTATTATGTGAATGAATAAATTAATGAACTCAAAAGAATTCACTGAGCAATTACTATGTGCCAGCTATGAGCATGATAAAACGCATTTAGCATGAATAAAGAAGTAACCAATTACAATAATTGTTGGTAAATTCTATGAAAAAGTTCTATCATAGAAGTGCTTTGAGGAATAGAAAAAGGGGACCTAACCCCAAGGGCGGGGGCACTGAGCTCTCAGTTTGGGGATGGATACTGGAGAGGAGACCTGAAAGAGGAAAACCCCTTGGCAGCCAGAGGTCTAGGAAGCACAGCTTACGTGACGAACTGTAGCAATTACTAAAGCGGACTCTTCTCAAAAGCTACACAAAGCCACGGAAGTATATTTAAGCAGAGGAAAGGTATGAACCCATTCACCTTTTAGGAAGTTCATGTGGGCAGCAGTGCGCAGAAAGAATGGGAGGAGACCAAAAGCAGAGTGGCCCTTAGGGGGGTGTCACATTAGCCAGGTGGTAGGCTTAACAAGAGCACAGCAAAGCCCTGGAGGAGAGAGGGCTGGACTGGAGAGAGATGCTTAAGTATCTGATAGACTCAAAGTAGGAGTGAAAAATTACTCTCAGGCCTGAGTGACATGCTTTTGGTAAAGACATTTACCAACGTGGGGACTGTCATAGTTCTTTAACTTTCTTGCTGAATATTGTATATCATCTTTAGAAATGGGATCTAGCAGGATTGGGAGAGAACAGGAAAGAAAATCAAGTGTGCTATGTGATTTCTTACTTTGTTTACAAGTTTCTATCTGAACTTTGTTTTGCACAGCTCTCCACAGTTTTTTCTGAAAGATCATGGACATTTTGGCAGGAAGGCTTATCTGCAGATTAGTGATGTTGTTAACGCCACACTAAAAATGTTTCAGTGACTCATTTGGTTTTTATCTTTTTAATAAAGTTCTGTTCATTATGCAGAATTCTTCAATGAAACGTTCATACACTTTACATCACCCAGAACTTGTATTGAAATGAGTGTATTTTAAAATTCTAATTATAGCTGACATTTCTAGAGCTAAGGAAACATTGCTTAATATGTTGAGATTCTATCTGTTACACCGTTTTTAATTTTGAGACATATACAAAGAAATTATTTTGAAAGATGAAAGAAACTAGATTAAATTTCCATTCAAATTGGTTGTATACAAAGTATATGCAAATATAAGTGTACCTGCCCAAAAAAAAGTCTAAGAAAGGAATACTTCATTGATTAATAATGATGAGTCAAAAAGATATGACTCTGGTTTGGAAAACTATTTGACCCAAAATATTATTAAATCACAGGGATGATAATAATGGAATTGTTTTTGAAATCCTGAACCACTAGAACAATTGACTTTAATTATAGGAATAATGAGAAGCATTAGTTTAGTGAATAATGAATTTATGACATTCTTCATCCAAGTCATTATGCCAGCTAGAAATTAAATAAATTTAAGGAAGATTAGGTAAATTAATGAATAAGTTATAATTTTGCTTTATAAATTGATATTTGTACCAGAAACCATAAGATTAATCAAATGCAGATGTCTTAAGGAACTGGTGGCAACATACACTAATTTCAAAATCGATTCTTTTTTTTTTTCTTTTTACATTTTTTAACATTTTTTTTTTTGAGACAGAGTCTCACTCTATTGCCCAGGGTAGAGTGCCGTGGTATCAGCCTAGCTCACAGCAACCTCAAACTCCTGGGCTCAGGCAATTCTTCTGCCTCAGCCTCCTGAGTAGCTAGGACTACAGGCATGCGCCACCATGCCCGGCTAATTTTTCTCTATATATTTTTTTAGTTGGCCAATTTATTTTTTTCTATTTTTAGTAGAGACGGGGTCTTGCTCTTGTTCAGGCTGGTTTCGAACTCCTGACCTTGAGCCATCTGCCCGCCTCGGCCTCCCAGAGTGCTAGGATTACAGGTGTGAGCCACCATGCCTGGCCTCAAAATCTATTCTTGAGCAAGGAAACTTTAATTTGTTAAGTTTAAATTTAATTTCCACAATGTCACAGATATATAATGATATTATTAATCTAAGGGTACTCAAAACAGACATATAAGTCAAATCTTGCTCTGTAAACTAACTAGTATGTGTTTGTGTCTCTATACTTACTCAAATGTGTCCTGTATTTACCTCTGCCTTATTCCCAGGTCCCTCCTAGTGACAGATGACCCTCTACTTGTCTCCCTACATTTTTCCTGCCAGTGAGATCAAAGAAATATATGCACATTTTGGTAGCTAAGAATATATTCTTGACAGCATAGTTATGAATAATCTATAAGACATATTCACAATTCAAAATTAATGTTAAATCTTAAAAACTGATTTATTTTTGGAGTTTATCAGAAATAGTAATTTCCTAAAAGTGAAGAAAAACATTATACTTATTTTCTTTATAGCCGTCCCTATACTTTCCTTCAATATTGTGTTAAGATACACAACTAATATAATTATATTGCTTTCAGAGTTGTGATTAGTCTTTCTAAATCTCTGATTGGATGTGATCATATAACAAAGACCAAATTAGAAAATACCAGATATGTTAGTCTCTAATTAAAATATTCGATGTAAAATTTGCTCTTATTTTCATTTGAAATATTCCTTTCAGGGTTATACATCAACATAATGAAATATCCAATTTTAGTGAACAATATTTTTTCAAGCGGCAAAGTTAGGTTTACACTGGGAAATAAACTTTTGTGTATTGAACATACACATTCTCAGTCTAAACATTGAATTAATGTACTTCTTGTTCTATGACTTCCTTTCCAACATCAATGTTTAAGAAGTAAAATCCTCTAGAGACGCTTGAGAAAATGGAATCATAGACAATGATAAAACCCAAGCCTTTCCTTCGTTCTCAGATCTCCTATCACCACGATCTCCAAATGCTGCCCTTACTTAGCATTAACATTTACTTCCCAAACAATTTACCCGAGTGAGGAAATAACTGAACGTGTTTGTGTGCTGCAGGGAAGGAACTAGCCGAGCGGTGGAGGCTCGGATGCGGACCAGGGCTAATTGATTAAAAAGATCCCCAAGGACAGAGGCGAGGATGGATTCCAGAGTCTACCAGATGAATTTGCCTTGTCTGGGAGGAGGGACTCTTCTTCCTCTGATACAGGAAAGAGATCCAGGAAAGAGGGTTTGGGTTGATGAGAGACATGATGTCAAGGGAATTAACTTATACCTGATAGTCTCTCTTTTCTCCACAAAGTCTAAAACAGGGAGAATTTTAAATAGAGAAAGTAGAATGAGTAGGGAGGCTGTCTGACCACACCTGTCTGATGTGCCAGATAACAAGCTCACTGTTGGTTGAGTAAACCAAACAGGAGTATACAGCGGTGGGACTGAGGGGTGCACTTTCAACAACCTGATTATACGAGAAAATTGTTAGTCTTCCTGTGAGATTACAAAGCAACATGGGGAACAGACTCTCTGAATGTCACTAAACATTATGTATTTTTAATTTAAAAAAAAGGATGCACGACCAGTTCTTCCTCTAATGACCACCATAGTGCTTTATTTAGTGTTACAGAGTACAAATGTGAGATGCTGATTAACTAAAATGTCACACGTTGAAAATAAGCCAGTCAATTGTTACGTGTAATGGAATGAAGAGCTTTGACATGAAATGATAAAGTCTGCAACTTTGCTAAAACATACTAAAATTAAATATATTTTTGAAAGAACTGGAAGAAAGTGCTTAGTATTTTTATTTAAAAATAGATATGAATAGCAGGAGATATAGCTGCATTTCTCTGTGCTCTTTTCCACCATCCCAAAGCCATGTCTTGCTCTAAATAAAGTAACCAGAATACCAACACTGCCTTTGTGGTTGGAAAACTGCTCGATCTCAAAACTGCCACATTTCCATTCTGTATGAATATTCTCATTTATCTCACTGAGCATTGTATCCTCCAGCCCCACCCAGCATCACAGTGCAAGCAACAGCTGACAGCATCTTGCCTTCCCTTTCCTGGTGCATACTAGGTGCCACGGTTGACCATGGCCTCCAAGAGTTTGTAAACGTGTTTTTTGTGCAGGTCAATTAACTGCATTTCCTAAGAGGAAGAACAGAACAAAACATATTTCTTTGTAATGCTGTTCAACTGTTTCCTTTGCAAATCTGCTTACTGAAGTTTTACAGATGCTGAAGTCATGTAATGTGTCCATTTGTTGGGAACTGCACTACATTTTAACTACCTCTAGCGACGGTATCTCCAGCCTTCTAAATGAGATCTATGTGATAGTTTTGCAGGTATTTGAAGAAACACATGTGCTGGAACGGCAAAGATTCTTTTTTTTTTTTAAAAGGAAAAATCAGAATCCTACTGCATATGCTTAATATTCTTCAAAATGTACTTCCAACTGAAAATGTTCATTTTCCTTCATGTACGAAACATCAGCATATTTCAGTACAACAAAGAGAACCTTACAGAATAGGACAGTTTTAATTGGTCATCTAAACTTAAATAGCTACAGTATTATGTTAATTGAATTTGTTTCTTTTTTAGGGACCTCTGGGGCCTCCAGGACAAAAGGTAGAGTATAAACAACAGTATTATGAAAGTAATTATACTCTCAGGGCCTAACAGCAAGCTCTTTGAGGGAAATTAGCTACTGTAAGCCACACTGACATCCTTAGTCTGGTTTGTACATTCTCCTTTCTAAAAATATAGTCCTATGATATGAGCCTTAGATTTCTAATCAACTCCATTATTAGAAATTCAGTAAGTCCATAGCACACTCTTTTTAAGTTATCTGCTGAACTTGTAAGTTATTGAAGTTTTAATTCAAATACTTGTGAAACATCGTGACAAAATTTAAAATGTGAAGGCTCATGTGACATTGCAGATCGAATGCATGGCCTTGCTCAAATACGTAATTGGCAAATGGTCACAGAACTGACCAGAATGAAGGATGTATTTGTTGCTTGGTACACAGCATTAAGTGGCCTACTAGTGCCTTTTGTGGAGGTAACCTGAAAGTGACTTCCTAACTGTCATTTCAATGTTATGCGTGGTCACCAGGACTGACCATTGCATTCTGAGGGAGAAGATCTAGGATTTCTGACATCACCTATACTGCAGCAGTAAACATAACAATAGCAGGTAGATGGCCCTTTGCCAATGACATATCACTAAGTCCCCACTCCCCACCAACTCCCACTTCTTAAGGGGAGGAGGGATATTTAACCTGCACAAAACTAAAGAAAACAATTGTATTATAACAGATGGAAAAGTGATTATTCTTTATCTTTGAAATCCATCAAAGAAAGAGATTTTTTATCCCCCCAGCACCAGGCAAGCATGTGGCATCTGTTGAAACATAATCCCACAAACCAAGTAAAAGCCAATGAGTTGTGAGACAACTTGTGTGTAGGAACACTTTGTCCTTCACAATAATGTCTCTATTAAGCATGGTGTGAAATTGTAAAGCTACCCTAATCCACATACGACCGGGATAAAATTACTGCTTCAGGCTTTGGGAAGTCCTTTAATGATCCACTCAATATAATCACTGAAAACGTGAAGGAACTTGCCATCTCAATTTCTTTTGATTATAATTATTTTTTAAGTATATTCTTAGAGTAGTTTTAGGTTTATAATTACTATTTTTTCCAAAAAAACTTTCTCCCATTATTATTAAAGAAATTTAATATCATACATCGCCTAAGAAAAATCTGTTTTCTAGTTCTAGACAAAGAATAAGCACATTGTATTTTAAAATGGTTTCTGCAGAGCCTGAATGGAGTGCAATGGAGGGAAATGACATCACTATTTGAAAATATTTGCTAATGTTTCTGTGTCCAGTCAAAGGCCATAGATATTCTAAGGTAGTAATTAGCTTTCTTATTCTCAGCTCACCCATCTGTGTCCAACCATTCATACTCACCCAGCGTGCATGTGAGTTTACAGCATGGGTCCCTTACTTTAGTATGTAACAAGTGGTTATTTTAATTACCTTTTCTTTTATGGTATTTTAGTTCATAAAATTCAAGTGTTACTGCTACTGCTAGGCTTTCTCCAGGTGAAACCAAACCTATTTATGATTAAAAGCACCAAAATTTAGAGCCATATGGCCCTCTGATAGATATGGATCTCAATTTATGTTATAAATTTCTTTAAAATCATATTATGGCTAAGTGGATATTTAGAAACAAGGTTAAATTTTATCTCTGTGGTTTCTGGGGAAGCTTGAGGAGTCTGTCTACATTATTATATAATGGAACACAGTGGATAAGATCTGAAAAACATAACCTGTTAAACATGTTTTAGTAAGGTAAAGTTATGGCTAACATAACTAATACAATATCAGTTTAGAATTGAAATATTTTATAGTTATGATATCAGCTTAATTTAATCATGTCTTCTTAGGGTTCTGTTGGAGCACCTGGAATTCCAGGAATGAATGGGCAAAAGGTGAGTTCTATAAGATATAGTATTTTTAAATGTAACTTGGTGAACATTAAAATCACAAAATTAGTAATGTTAGCAGCAAGTATTAAATATATATGCTTATAAAAACACTACATGTACCTTTGAAATACAGGGAAATTATGGTACAAATGATCAAGTTAGTTTAATTTTTAAAGATGCATTAAACAATCAGAAATTCTTTGAAAATTTTCCATTGTAAATATTTTGGATGTGTTACTTTTGATACGTTATGTATGTGATACAACTATATCTTTCTCATTAGATTTATATGGAGTAGAAAAATGCTCTGTTTAACCTTCATTGTGATAAAATGTACTCTAGTTTATTCTGGTCATGGTAAAACTAATATGTACTATTGCATTGTTTAACTTAAGTTATTGTCACAGAGGAAACCCATCAAAACTTTCTGGGTCTAGAAGAAAGCTCTGTTTTACTATTCGGCAAAAGTAGGGGTTAAATAGACTTGCCACGCTCTGGTACTTCACTTTTATTATTCTGTTAATAATGAGGGGAATACCTGAAGGAAAACAAATCATTGCATAAAAAAGACACCAGCACTGGCATATTTATCACACACAGTACAATTCACAATAGCAAAGTCATGGAATCCACCTAAGTGACCATCAACAGATGATTGGATAAAGAAAATGGGTAGGTAGGTAGGTAGGTAGGTAGGTAGGTAGATAGATAGATAGATAGATAGATAGATAGATAGATAGATAGATAGATATACACACACATACCATGGAATACTACTCTGCCATAAAAAAGATGAAATGGTGTCCTGTAGCAACATGGATGAACTGGAGGCCATTATTGTAAGTGAAACAACCCAGACACAGAAAGCCAAACGCCACATGTTCTCGCTTACACGTGGGAGCTAAACAATGGTGCACATGGACGTTCTGATGCATAATAGACATTGGAGGCTTCAAAAGGTGGGAGAGATGGAGAGTGCTGAGGGGTGAAAAATCACCTATTGGGTGCAATGCACACTGTTCAGGGGATGGGTACGCTAAAGGCCCAGACTTCACCCCCACAATACATCCATGTAACAAAACCGCACTGATAGCCCCTAAGTCTATAAAATCAATAAATAAATAATGAGGGGAAAAAATAAAGTGAAAAAGAAAAACGCACACATACACATATCTATGACATGTGTATGTTTACTCCAGCAACATACTGACTAGTTGGACAAAGCATCTCACATCATCCCACAGATGGGTCTCTATTCTGTGCTCCCCAATGTCCCTGCCTGGCTCTTTAATCTGGTACCTCTACAGACACCAGGAAAGCCATTGTGGCAGCCAACAAAGCCCATTGCTGGGCCAGTCTACCAGGAGCAAGAGAGCTGCTCTAGGCACTTGCCTGTCTGCTCAGAGCTCTTGGCCTGGCCCTTTGAAGTCCTGTGACCGCCACTTTGTCTTCCCAGGATATTTTCAATGCATGTGCCCTGGAGCAAATTCTGAAATCATAAGTAGCCCAGCCCTTGCAGATGGAATAAACCTCCTGTGACCATTTCTATGCTGTCCATCTTCTCTGCCAGTAAGACATAAACAACCACAATTTAGATCTAGTCAGTGGCTAAAAGCGTAAGTATGCCACATGGAGGCTTTCTGAATTTTGGCAGAGTCCTGGGAGTTCCCCAGCCTCAGTTTCCTCATCTGTGAAGGGGAGTCAAGAGCAGCTCCTACCTGATAGAGTCAGTGTGACGGTTAAATGGATTTAAAGCCCTTACAGCTGTTAGATGTGATTATTAGACTTTTCTTTCACTTCATTTTAATGAAATTCTGGAAATTTGGTTAATCTATGTTTTGGAAGAGGCTCTGTTCCGGGAATTACTCAATTCCCAAGTGAAATTAGTGTTCTCAGCCCAGGCTTACGGTGGTGTCATTTAGTCCATGCACCAAACGCTGTGCAGTCACCAGTAGTTTCCCACCACGCGGCAGCTGCATCTTCCACTTTCTAAAATGCATATCCATTTGCTTCACAAATCCTGGTAAAGACAGAAGATTAGCTTTGTGTTTAGAACATTACAGATCATGGGGGGAAACCTAAGCAAAAATTTTAAAATGTATTCATTTCAACATGGTTTTGAAAATTATATAACTCAAGATATCTAGAAAAAGCAAAATACAAATATAGCATAAATATTTCTAACATCAGTGAAAAACAAAACTTGCATGCCCAAGGTTGATGTTTTTCTTTTTCTTCGTTTCTTTTCATTTTTTAACTCTGAGACAATCATGAAAATTTATAGAAACCTTTAACCTGAAACAAAACAACTTTAAAACTGTCACATATACTCTTTTGAAGACTACGTATTTTTTGTTTTTACAAAGGAAATATGCAATTTCCTTAGCAAGAGAAAGGAATGTGACATTTTCTTGTCCTGGTCACCAAAGTTTAAATTATATTTCAAGGAAATAGACATCAATATTTGCAATTTTATGTCACGTTATACATCTTTGTGGCATTTTAAAAATGTTTTCTGAAAAACTTAGGGAAACTAAATGATTTCACACTTTTATAAAGTTATCATCAAAATGTAGTTTTAATTTGTTTTTCCTACTCCAAAGAACTGAACCTAAAATTCTGTGTATGGAACTTCCGTTAATCCTAGTGATTATTTAACATTTGTAGTATTCGCTGTTATCGTTGTTAGGAAAATAAAGTGCAGAAGGCATGCGTCTCCTTCACTGAGATAGAGGTCATTTAGACAGTAAAAGCGAAGTTAGCAATAGAGTAATATTCTATACTTAAAGCATATGAAATGTGTCTTCAACTCTAGAATTTGTTTTTCTAAGAAGAAAACTTACAATGACATAATATTTTTTTAAAACATACTATAATGTCCTTAAACTGTATAAGAAAATGTTTTCTCCACATTACAATTTCACTTTTTCCAAAGAAGTATTTTTGATACTTAGAAAATAGTTTTCAGTTCTCTTAGTGGTTAAGAGAGGATATAATTTCTAAGCCATCAGAAATACAGCAAATAACAACTAGGAAATGAAAAGTTCTTTCTCTTGTGTTTGAAAAAAGAAAGAAAAGCAAACTATTTTAAGAAAATACTTTGTTTTCTACTAGAACATTTTCCATCCTTCCATCCATTCAGTTTGACGAAATTGGTGATGGGCCTTACTTAGCCCAATAAACTTGACAGTGACTTTTTTTTAAATACTTATTATTTCTTAAATTTTGATCTCTTTGATTGCTAATCTGAATATTTCTTAGTTTTGTGATGGTCTTCCAGTTGTTCTGATTGTATTAGGAGAACAGACTTCCTTATGCAGTGACATGGCATTACCCTCCAACCTCACTCCTGGCATCACAGCCCACTAGGGCTGGCCATCCTTCTTGAAGGCAGCAGGCAGCGCGGTGCGGAGGACGGCGTGCTCCACGTCAGAGAGCGAGTGCTCCAGGCCCTCCTTTGGGCAAGTTGCCTAACCTTCCTAGAGTTTCCAGTGTGAGATGTAGAGATAGACCTTGCAGTATTAACTGGACAATGTATCTAAAGAGAACATTACATAATAAATGCTTGATCAATGTTGCCTGTAATAGTATTATCATGTAAATGCTAAACCAGGGAGCAGAAGCCAGTTGAATATGCAAAATTAACACATGAAGGTGCAATGTTTTCTGTCCCCTGGCTCTCCCCTCCACCCCGCAGCCAGCATGGACTGAGTAGTTGGCATGTCAGCACTATGGGTGTGGGAAAGAGAAAGACACGTCTCGTATTATTTCCACAGGCCAGTCACCAGTGGGGTAATGCAGGAGCACTGTCCTCGCCTCAGGGTCCCTGCTCTTTCATCTCTTGTGTGGCCTTTGAATGATCCCTTTCTTCTGGGGGGTTCGAGAGGGCTTCATTTGTAAAACGAGACAAGGGGCTTTACCAATTTATCTCTGAGTTTCTCAGAGTTACTGTGAGTCCACAAAAAGTCGCCCATGTCTCATTTCCAGTTCAACCAGCTTCTAGCATCCTCTTTTCCCAATTCTGAAAGCTGTTTCCAGTATTTGGACTTGCTTCCAACAGCCCAAGCAGTAAGGGCAGGTTAAATGCAAAATCTTACCTAAAAATATAAAACATTACCTCTTCTTCTCTGGCTAATTGTATTGGACACAAAAATAATTTTTGTAATTCTCATGAGTAGGTTTTGTTGGTTTAAAGGCATAATTAACATTTTATTTGTGCTCCGTGAGTCATTCTCCCACCACACACACACAAATGCATATGCGGAGAGATGTATATTTAAATATTTGTCACTCTAGAGAAGTACAGACTATTTAAAACAATGTTGTGGTAGAACTATTTTTCAAACTTTTTAAAACTATTTTTTTAATTCTTTAGCAAAATAAATTGCTGTCTACCATTTTTATTTGTGTGTTTATATGTCAGTTCTTTAAAAATCTGCACTCTTAATAGTGTTATTACAATCCTGTATACCTTCATCTTTCTTGGCATCTATAAGATTAAAGCATGACAATAACAATTTATTTGAATGGCAGTTAGTGCCCAGCATTGGGCAAATGCCAGGGAAGAGAAGAGCTGGGGACAGATGCAGAGTGCATAAGACTAATTTACACAGCTCTTAGTTCATATCCTTGTCTTTATTACTATGAAAATAATGTTAAACTCTGTTATAGGAACAGAAAAAAAAAAAGAAATTAAAAAAAAAAGAAAAGAATGTTAAAGATTTTCAGGATTAAAACAAATCATTTTTGAGACCAGACCAGAAGAGGAGGAGGAGTCCAGGCTGGAAGAGGAGGAGGAGACAAGACCGGAAGAAGAGGGGGAAACCAGACTGGAAGGAGGGGGAGGCCAGACTGGAAGAGGAGGAGGAGGAGGAGGAGGAGGAGGAGATTAGGCCGGAAGAGGAAGGGGAGAACAGACTGGAAGAGGAGGACTAGACCAGACAAGAAGAGGAGGAGGAGTAGACCAGACCGGAAGAGGAGGAGGAGTAGAGCAGACCAGAAGA